TTGAGAGGATCACAAATTGTGATCATGTGACCACAATGCACTGCAACCGTCGTAAGTACAAATGGCCAAACTGCAATTATATGACTGAGGGGTAGTGTGACGATTGTAACTTAGAGCATGTGTTGTAAAACACCTTTTCTGAAGCCATTGTTAAATGAATAGTTGTTAAGTTGAAGACTAGCTGTGTTAGGAAACATTTAAAAGTCCTCTGCAGGATAAACCTGAGTTTGCATTACTGTTCTGCCCCAGCTACGGATCCCAAAGAACACAGCACACACAAACTCTGACCAAAACTTTGTTTACTCAAATAACGCGGTTTTAGCAAATGCCGGCTGTTAATTAGCGCTCTTAACAGCCTGCCAGAATTCCACAGATAAGATAGTCAGTCTTACTGAAGTTGGCAGAAAGCCCAGAAGCAAGGTTGCAGAGAAATCCCAATGTGATGATTAGCGAACTAAAGTTGTTTCCTGCAGCTTGTTACAAGCTGCGTTCTTTCTTAAATAGGCTAAGGGTGTGGCCAATTAGCCCCAAGCCTTACTCTCGAGACCACCTCCTCCTGAGGGGTTCCTCAGGTTTTGGCAGCTCTGCGTGCCCGTGCATTGAGAAGAGGCTCCTCCTCTTCATCCTCTTCACTTAAAGGAGCCTCTGGAGGTTCTGAAGGCCCTGACTGAATCCCTGCCTCTGGCAATACATCTTCTTCAGCCTCCTCGCTATCCGACTCAAGCGCCGGCTGCACAGTCTGCTGGCGCAGCACCACACCAGCCTCCTCCTCGTCGGGATCAGCAACAATCTGTGCAGGCCACTGGTGGGCCACAACAATTACCCTACTTTTATTTTATTTTATTTTTTTAAAAAGTCAACTTCTTCTAGTATTCTAAAACAAATTCATGCCCTCTTCCAATTCCTGAAACTACCCAATATTCAAGATCAATCCATTGTGTTCTGTTTAATCCAATACATACTACAGAATCTGTCATTGTGCAAAATTTGAAATTGAATTAAGAGTAGACAATGAAAAAAAGAGACAAAACTTTTCCGTGACCACAAGTTCACCTTCTTGTTCTGATCAGAGCTCACATTTTTATAGGTAGTCTCCGTCATTTCACACATTGTCACTGAAGTGTATGTACTCCAACATTCATGTTCATACTTTAAAATGGTTGGTTTTAAATATATGCTGAGTAGACAACTATCCTTAAAAAATTATGCAAATACAAGAAGAATGCGTTTGGCTAGTGTGCCATCAATGTTAAAATTTGTAAAGCAGTCTACAAGCAGGAACCCATACAGTAACATATAATTGAAGACTGGTTTTTTTTTTTTAAGCGAAAGATTAACATGAAAATTGATCACTGTTCTGGAAATTCAACTTTAATTTTGATGTGAGAGGTGAAACTTTTATTTACAATATGAAAGTGGAATGCATCAGTACAGCTAACCAGTGGAGACCAGAAATGGAAGGTTTGGGGCCTTAAACTTTCAGAAGCCTTCTATGTCTTCATACATTGGCACTACTCCTGTTTTGTGGGAATGGGTTAGTAGTTCACATTGATGCCACCTATCCTCCAGGTAGTACCTCACCTAGTATATTACCCATCATCCCAGTAATGAGCTATCATAAAAATTGTGCTGCAAATAAGGCAAGAAAATGCAAAATAGTGAAACCTCTTGATCATGCAGTATGTATGATCAGTATTTCAATCCTTATCCTTTTTGAAACATAAACCAGTCTCATAATAACAAAGAAGAAAAAATATGTAACCACCCTTTTTAATTTTAAATAGTGAAACGCAAATAGTCAGTGCTGGCAAAGATAAACTATAAAGCTAGCAAACTGAAAGGAAATTTCCAAAAGAAAATACAATGTTCTAGGCAGGATATAGTGTTGGTCTGCTACAATTGGCATTCTTGTCAGATGGGAGAAGTTGCAATTTAATGTCAAGGTTTACAGTATTATTATACCGTAAAGCCTCCATTCTTTAAAAAAAATGAGTAAATGCTGAAATCACACACAATCCTCTTATCTTATGCAGAAAAAAATAAAATAGCAATACATAGAGAAACAAATTAAATCTAGCAGTTCTCAACTGTTTTTACCGTTTGTGACGGTAGTCACAAGGAGTCTTGAAACAGTTGTTTCTCTTGCTTCAGTTGCCTACATTCCAGCCTCTTGGAATTCCCAAATTTTAATCAGGGATTGTGGAGATCTTAAACTTAAACCTCATTCTTTTACAGCTTCAACCCAACCTCTTGTTTTCCAGCCAAGATAGAGGCTAGACTATCTGACTTTCTGTGTATGTACAAAAAACATCTGTTCCTTGTGTCTCCATTGTGAGGATGTGTATTTTATGTATGGAGGCAGTTTGCAGTACTGCAAGCATATCTAGCAAGCAAGCACATTCGCAAGTCGTTGGGGGGTGGGGGGAAATACAAAAAGCAAATTTGAAAATGGCATGAGCCATCCCTTGAGAAATGAAACAGAAATAAGCTTAGCTGTGGAAGTTAAGTAATATATCTAGTATATAGCAGGAAACAGGAATGTTTTAATGATACTGGGTTCTTTTCTCTGAAGGTTTAAAGGATGATTTTGTAAGAGTACGTACAATGTTTACTTATAAAAGTATAACATATGGAATGTAGCAAACAGGCTTTCAAATATTGTTACACAGGCATATATGGCACAGTTGCTACTGACTTGATTTGAGCAAGTGGCAGTAAACATGTATTGTTTAATAACCTTTATACTCAACAGTACAAAGATTTCTGTCCTGCAGTTTGTTAGTCCTTAGGTATCAGCTGTTCTTGCTGATTGCCATTAGTCCTGAAGATACTATTCAATAACTAACAAAGAATAATTGAACCAATGAGGAGAGAGGCATAATATTACCAGCAGAAGACAGAAATGTAGGGCAAGAAATTGTACCATGGAGAAAAGAGAAATGATAGCTTATCTTGCTTTGTATCTCTTCCAGAATAAATTATCATCTTTGGTTTGTGGCAAATGAAGTTCAATATGATAAATAAGTCGACCAATCACTTAATGCAATTACTGAGCTCATAGAACTTACAGTATTAAAATCTGGCCAATGATTGTAGGTCAATGTACTTGATTCTGAATCTCTATCAGGAGCCAGAAAAAAATCCAGAAACTGTTCATTTATTGTATTGTACAAGGTATCAGAAATATTGGAAATATCATAAATATTCAGTATATAAGCAATCCAATGTAATTTATACATTCTTGGCAAGAATAACCTAACTCAGTGATTTTACTAGTATGTTGTCCCACTTCACTGGTTTAAACACTGTAATAGCCATTATTTTTACTATAAATACAGAAGCCAACTGCTTAAATCTAACTGAACAAGATTGGAATGAAAATTTCAAACATACATAGCTCTCAACTTTTAAAGTTAAGATAATGCTGCTAAACTAATTAATCAGAGTCTACTGGATTGGGCAGCTATTTAATGAAATAACAATCCTGACAGTTCAGATCTCTTTTTTTCCACTGAGGATTTGGAAAAAATCATGCTTAATTCCCCATACAGCCTCATGAAAACAGGATTCCAGAACCCTTTCAGGGACATTCTCTTAAACGAATAGAATAGAATAGAATAGAATAGAATAGAATAGAATAGAATAGAATAGAATAGAATAGAATAGAATAGAATAGAATAGAATAGGAATAGAATAGAATGGACCTTGGAGCTTCTAGTCCAACCCACTGCTTAGGCAGGAAACCCTACACCACTTCAGACAAATGGTTATCCAACATCTTCTTAAAAACTTCCAGTGTTGGAGCATTCACAACTTCTGGAGGCAAATTGTTCCACTGGCTAATCTATCTTTATCCAAGTATCCACAGATTAATGTAAGATTAGTTTCTGTAACTAAAAAAATGAATCAATGCTCTGCTTCTATAGCTTCATAACTTGCTTATGGGTCTTTTACAATGTTTAGGTACTTAGAATGTATGGTAAAATCACTTGCAACATTTTTTAAATAAAAGCACTCCATGGCACTAAATGGAATACTGTGAGACATAATCCTCTTTGAAGTAAAACAATTAGTTTTATTCATCAGAATAGGCACAGCTTTAAGGCTGTTCAGCCAGTCAAATTTCGTACTTTCTGGCCACAGAAATTGGTCAGGAGAAAAAAAAATAACCATATTGCTTCTGAAAATATGGATAGCAAGCATAACTATATATACATACATTCAAAAAAAGATACATACATACATTTAGAAAGAGAAGTGGGTTGCAGTCAAATGAATTTACCATGTTCTCTTTTTAAAAAATATGCATAGATCTGTTCTAATATTGCAAATAGCTCTCATTCACAAGGTCTATCCCAACTGACCTATGAAATCCAGTCAGTTGATGGCTGATGCTGCAGAAAATTTGCACAGATGCTTAAAAAGTTTACTCAGATGGAAGTTATACTGCAGTTCAAATATTAGGTGACATTTTATAGATATATTGAACTCCGTTACTGACTACACGGGGAAGGCAGGCTGTTATGGAAGGTATGGCCATTCATAATGCCAAGAAGTTGCTCCCTGCCAACTAGCTATCCCCAGGAAACTTTTTACTATGCCATGCTATCTTCCCACATTTCCCCCCCTTTTGCCCCGGCAGATGAGCATATTTCCAATAAAACACATGGGTGTGATCACATACTATTTTTATTTTCTAACATCTCTGGGGCAAAAGACAGTCATAAAAATAAGACTATGCTAAATAATGGTTCTCGCTTTGTAGCATGCTAGTTATTGTTTTATTATTTACAATTTGATTTTTAAAAAGGCTAGTGGGTGCAAAGGGAATATCCTGAAGCATATTTGATGCAAAACTGTAAGAACAGTGAATTTTCAGATCAGTTCTGGTTTGTCTGTAACTCAAGAGATGAAAATGAGAATGAAAAGTAATCACTTAAATAACGAACAGATGCTACAGCAGCCACCTCACCACCAATAAAAACTCAACAACTATACAATTGTTTTGTGTTAATTTAATCATACAAATATTCATTTATACATTAAGGAAAAAGCATCTTTGTTTTTCCCACAATGTGCTATTACAGGATTCTTCCCAGACTCAATGAAGCAACACACCATCCTGCTCTACACATGCACTCCCCCCAGAGAGAATAAAGACAGGCTGCAGAATCAATCATTCACACAAGAGAAAAAAAAATATATGGAAACCTGGACATGGGACAGCGTGCATTTCTTATCCCAGTGAACTTCAGCTATATTTGTCCCTAGAAAGTTTCAAGATGCGGTTCATTTGCAACAGGGAAGGATAAGTAGTACACACTTCCAAATCTCTGCATCCACCTTACTTTGCACTTATTATTTTCTCCACATAATGGCAATAACCTAGGCCAGTCTGTTGGTACAAGTTGACACCCCACCCAGCAGCCAGAGCTTATTTTCTATCAGAGGACTTTGTCCAATTTTCCAGTGAAGAGTCTGGGTGTTTCCCATTCCAGGCTGGAGTCATATTTCCAGGTACAGAAGTTGGTTACCAACATATTCAAATTCAATAGTTTGGGCTATGGTTAAGCTTGCATTTTAAAAAATTTAAATTTTGAAAACAACTTACTACATTATAATTACTGGCATTTATTCTTTGCAGGAATCCATCATAATTTTTTCTAATCACACAAGAGAAATGAAGTACGAGTGGACACAGACATGGATCAAGCAGGCTCAAGCTTCCTTCATGACCAAATACTATTATCACTTCAGTAGAAGGACATTTCTACTGAAGATTTCATTAATCTTCTTCTACAGATGCTATAGGAAATAAGGAGATGTATGTACACTGTACCATTTGAAGATGATGGGAGTGTTTGTTTTAGTTAGCAACATTGTGAGAGCCATTACAACTTTCAAATGTATACCGATTGCACTCTAAACACTCGTGCCAATTTCAAATTTGACAATGTGCAGAGATAAACTGAAAACTGTACAGGGGTGGTGTCTGGAGTGAGGTCAACATGAAAAACTTCAACCCTAACACTATCACATTTTTCTGATAAGAGATCTCTGCCTTTATTGCATATCATGCAGCAATTCTAGAACAGCTTTCTTACATTACTGAATTATCATGCTTTGTCAATCTGCACTTTTTTAGTTCCTGCTGCCATGCAATTGTTAAAAGTTACAGCCCATTCATTCACTGGGAATGGAAAAATGCAACGTACTGCATAAACTTTCCCTGTTGGTTCTGGGATATAAGTATTACATAGTTCTGAAAACAAGCCTTGATGCCAAGATAGATATATGTCCTTAACAGTTCAAACATGAAAGTGCTGCTTCCAACCTAATCAACATGATTTTGTCATAAGCCCAAAATCATCATAAGGGGCTTTATAACTCAGGAATTATACTCTGAGCCCTAAGATCTTACTATTTGATAAATCGGATGGAGAAACCAAAGGAAGAATAGTAAACAATTTAAACATCTTCCCATTGCCATCCCTAAAAGGGCCGTCCCCTTATACAAAATACTCTCAGATTAAATTTCATAGCTGAAGGGAGTTCATCCCTAAAGAGGAAAACAATCTTGGAAATTCAAATGTAGGGTATACTGTAACTCATTACTGCTGCTGGCTTTTGCATTTTTTATATTAGAGACTTGTTCAATTCGTGTAAGTCACTAGCACTTGAGAAAAGAGAAAATATTTGAAATTACCAAAGAGAAAGGGCCACCAACAAGTAAGCTGTTGGCTGGTAATTATCAATTTTCCTTCTGCACACTGTTAAAAATGGTACACAATTTTTACAATAAAAGCTGGATGTTTATGTAGTTGAAATATGTGGGTAACTGTTTCAAACAAAAAGCTAAAATTGTTTGGATTTGGTTAACGACTTATTTTAAGATTTCCCTCATTGCTGCCAAAGAACACACTCACTCATTTGCATACACACATATATTCCATCTGGTCACTCAATCTTTTGCTGGCCTATCTAGAAAGGTGCTTGCCTACAGCAAGGGAGAAATTAAAACAAAACAGGAGTAATGCTGTACATAATCAGTTTATATGTCCTTTTTTGAATTTGGAAAATATATTGCTTGAAGTGATTAAGATAAATATTTAGAGATCCATATTAGAAAAATGGTTGAGGAGTAATGGAAAATATCTTTCAGTACCTATACTCCATCCTTTACCTTTTCAAGGTAAGGGTTTTTATATTTTTGCATTAATATCTCCCAGTGTTTATGGCTGATAAATAAAATTAGCTGACAAGAAAAAAAATATCCCTCAAAAGAGCAAACAATTTTTGATGGCTAAGCAGTCCTAGGAAAATTGCATCTCTCAATACCTGCTTCTTCAGATCTCAGTCAGTCAGACTCTGCAGGAGCTATTTATATGATCTGGCAAGAAACAAGTTTGTGGTCAAGAGTATCATACATTTAAAAGACTCTTTACACCAGCCTATGAAAAGTTAATTTAGAAGATAATACTCTGAGTCCAGCAATAGTCTCTATTACATTCTCATCAGAATATGTGTCGACATCATTCCCTCAAACACAAAATAGGCAGTTTGGTCTTTTGAGTGAAATCAAAGAAAGGGGGTATTGCATATTTTTCTCTCTTTGGCAGATGGCTGCTAGTTCAAGTTTCTGAATTACAGATTCCCCGCCCACTTTTTCAAAGTCTTGCACTGATGCAAACCCCAAGAATTTCAAGAGACCATGCTCTGTTAACTGGACAGCTTGGCCTCAGTTATATATGGCTATCATTTTCCATGGGTTGCACATAGGCAGACTTCAAGCAACACTAGCTTTTCATATACAAACTAGAAAACCAAGGTTTAAAGTAGAAAGTTGATAAAATAAATTACTTGAATGGCAGCTGCTGATTCCTTCTCCTATATATTCTAAGGTACTCAGTCGCTTTCAACAGAGAAAAATAATTAATTATCTCTCTACAGAAAAGAAGATGTGATACTTACTCCTATGTCTAAAAATGCCAGGAAACAGTAATAAGATGCGATCTAACATTCCAGAAATCAAAATTCTTCTTGGCACAAAATGGACATAGACATACAGATGTTTCAACAACAGCCACGGCATATTTAAGAAAATGAGAATATGGCAATTTTCTAACCTATTCAGGAAAAACTTCTAAAATCTAGCATGAGCAGGTACGTATTCAACTCTCCACTGTCATCATACTCCTTTCTACTTTCTCATCTATCTCTGAATGGTGAAACTGGACTTGAACAATTTTATTAAATGGAAAAGAACAAGCAGATGACTATTGCATAGTGCCAACAGCAAATTAAAAAGCAACTAAAAAAACATTAAAATTCATGGACCTGGTTATGAATCCAGCTAGAAATTAATATCACCTGACATACAAATAGCAGCTGCACCAACCAAGAAAATGCTAAGTAAAACATCTATTTCATAGCAAGCACATTTCTATAAAAATGCACGCTGTCCCTTTTAAAAGTCGTGAAAAAAAATAACATTTGCTCAGTCTACAACTGCTCTGTAGGCAAAATAACTTCTTTTAAAAAGAGATGGCTTCTCCATTTTAATCTTTTTAAAAAATTTCTTTTAGGCTACCTAATTAACTGTGACAATAACTTCTAAACAAAACATTGGTGTATTTTTCTCTCTCATAGCACTGAACAGCACTCCTGAAATTCAGCATTCACACATGCATACTTTAGGGTTTTTTTTTTTTCTGGAAACAACTAGTCTTAAGTTATTGTTTGTTTTCTTCTTATCCCAGGATATGGAGAGTAAGAAGGGAGTTCATGATGTATCTTCTATGAACCACAAGAACTTCCTCTCTCTCCAATGTCCGTTCTTTGTCAAATTCTCTTCTTGACGATACCCGTTTTTGTTTTTAAGACTGTCCAAAGGGATAAGGACCATGAAAACCCTAGAAAAGAACAAGAAAAGAAATTAATTTCAGTTTGGGGAATATATTAAGCAAAGTCTACTTCATTATATTTGAAAAATCAAATCTTAAAATTTAAAAGTTTTCTGTAACTATGCTACTTTACTCTTTTCAAATTTGTATGCAGCTGCTTAATCCAGATTTCTGCAACTAGACGTGTTAAGACCAGAATTCCCAGAAAATATGTCCCTTGCTTAGTTATTTCATTCACATTTCAATAATAAATCCTAAGACTGCCAAAATATTTTATTGCTATCATTTCCTTTCTAATCATAATAATCTGATACAGTGGTCCACAGATATAGCCAAAACATCTGTTGAATCACACTTCAGATTTAGAATGTTAACTATTTACATGCTTTTGTAAATCAATAGTTTGCATTCATAATCTCAAAACAAGCCTTAAGTTTTTAATCATTTACACTTTTCAAGGCTGTTCACCTATAAATGTTATTTATGCTTTATGGCACTAAAATATTGGTATTATTAGCATAAAAACTGATTTTATTTCAAAAGCTACACAGAATGCCTATTAGTTTTATTTCCAATAAATCAGTTTCCTTTGATATAAGTCAAAACAAAAATATTTGCTGGAAGATAAATCCTGCAGAATGTTGTTAGGCTGACCAGTAGCTACAAACACTATGAGTAAAACTGCACAGATTTGTCTCCTTATGCCACAATTTTCTACCCAGGATCTTTTTATCATTGGCCATTAATCTGATATATCATGATGCCAAAATTGTTTACTAACTTTCTCTAGTGGAATTATATTTAATGTTTAGCTCACTCTGGCAGGAAACTAAATTAAGAACTTCTTTTTAATTATTGGTCCCATAATCAATTTTTAATAAGGTGCCAACAAATCAGTGTTGGTTCTTAGCAACTACACTGATATATTTTCTCTGTGACAATCTGTTCCTAACCTTGGTCTTTCAGATCAAATTTAGGAGACATATAATACTGAATATTTCAAATCCTCAAAGCTTTCAAATGATCAAATGCTGAGAATGTATCCTGGCAGTATGCTAACAATACTGAATTTTTCTTAAAAAAAAAAAGGGGGGGGGCCTGCAGGACTTTTCTTCAATTATGATTCAATTATTTACAGAAATGTGTTTTAATTGCTTAAATGTTCAAATAACATGTAATATAACATGTTAGAACAATACAATACAATAAACTATAACATATATATAAAACAATTATAGAAAAAATAGTGGCAGTCTGCTATCCATATTGTTGAGAGCCATACATCTGTTTTAATGGCAACACCTGTGTTTCTACAGGTTGCTGAACAAAGTAGGATACCTCTTCACAAGCAATAAGGTGAGCAAGAAACCATCTGCTTTTTGTTAAAGGCAACAGGAGATTTATTCAATGCCTGTTCTATCTGTCTTCAATTAAATTTTTAAACCATAGCTCTCCCTTTAGGCCTTGGGTTGGGGGCTGGCAGGCCCCTTTAGGTTGGGGGTTATACGGCAGCTTTTAAAAATGTTCTCTCAGGGCAATTGAAACATTTTCCCCTGCTTTTAATTTGCCAAGCTAACAAGAGCTATTTTTGGAGTTGGGCATCCTAGAAATTGGATGGATGGTGGATGGATAGGTAGACACTAGACAGAAACAACTTCACCAATTTGTCTCCTGACAACTTATTTTGGGAACGGCCATATTTTTCATGGTAAGCAATCTGTGAATAAGCAAGCCGTCCCTTCAGCAGCAATTTTATTAGAGTGCCTACAGCTTCCTCTCAAAATTCTAAACATGCCCATTATAAAAAGACTATCTCTATATTTTGCAATATAAGTATTTTAATAAACCGCAAAAATAACATAAATAGCAAAATAAATAACACAGTGTTTGCTAAAACATAATAATAAGCAAATTCATTCTTTATAGGAAATAAAGATTCAGTGTAACTATCAGCATGATGCATCTACAGCTCACCTGATTTACAGAGCACCAGATTATGGAAAGTGGAAGTGATCCAGAACACTGTTATGATTAAAGTATTGGAACAGGATTGGGAAAATTCCTGTTCAATTCTACTTGCAACTACAGGGACTGGTACTTTCTTTCAGCCCAATCTGTTTCACAGGTTGTAAGATAAGGATAAAATGAAGCAAAATATTCATTCAAATTGTACTGAATTCCTTGAACAAGGGTAGAATATATTTGGAGTGCTAAATAAATGGTCTACTGGTTAAGGCACCAGGCTAGAAACCAGGAGATTGTTAATTCTAAAAACCGTTTTAGCCATGAAAGCTGGCTGGGTGACCTGGAGCAGTTATTCTCTATTGCCCAGGTTTGGGCAACAAGCTAGTTGGTCAGTTTCTGTCACAACTGATGGATCAACTTCATTTTGGTGGAGATGCTTCAATTTTTTTAATTAGTTTATCAAAATACTAATAGAGAAATACAAATAAAAAAAGCAAATAATGGGAAAATAGAGGAGGGGAAGGAAGAGGAAAATCAATTTTCATTTGATCTGGGGGGGGGGGAACCCTGCATTTGCAGAAAAACAGTAGGAGGAAAAAAACTAAACAAAATACTTTCTTAAAGAGAATCCAACTACACTGATAACAAATGATATAAATGCTATTTTAAAAAACATTATTCCCTGATTTTTGTGTGGCATACAACTCACAATGCAAAAGCATTTTCATATTTAAAATCTGATTTATAATTATCCCAGTAGTTTTCTTACTGACTCACTTTAAATATGATCTTTTGTATAATCCTGTACAGCTATTTTGTTATGTTGGCTGAGAAATCAGGACTGCTGTCCAAACCAATTCAGCCTTTTTGTCAGACAACTTCACATGCCAAATGTGTACATTACATTTTATTTAATAAAATAGTCATTAGTTTTGATATTATTATTCAAGTAAAAGAAAACTAGTTTTTTCCTTTAACTGCAAAAATTACCTTAAACACTAAAGATGAGCACAAGAATAAAAGAATTCTGAAGTAATCTCCATTTCACATAAGATTTACAAATCACAAAGGGTGGCCTATGTTGTTCTCCAAGTTCATTCAAGGAAATAGTTAACATTTCTTGTTCAGAATCTTCAACAGAAACTAGTTCTTACCTCACATCAATCACTGGTGATACTATTAATTGAGAGATAACATTTTGGATTCTCTTATCCCACCTAGCTTCCTTTTAAATGTAGTTACCACACCAAGACTTAGAAAACATTGGAGAACTATGTTGACTCTATTTCGCTTTTGTTTGTCATACAGTTTGAATAAATAAAAGATTAGTTTATTTTTTTTAAAAAAAACATTAGCTTTTGATGCCTGGCTGCAAAATAAAACAAAAATATCCTAACTTACAGTGATGGTAACGTCAGATAATACCACTCAATCACCTTCTTTTTATCATCATTTCCTGGGCTGTTCCTGGTCATTGCTTCTCTAAACTACCTTGGGCTTTCTTCTAAATCACTTATGTAAACTGAACACAAATGAACAGAGCATTTTGTACTGTATTTTGTTCAATGCTCACTATATAAATATAATGCAATAACTCAAATCTCTTCCCTGTAATTCATCGGTTCATTTTGCTTGAATTCTTCTATATGTTTCTTTTTTTAAAAAAAGATACTACACTTCTAGCTTGTAATTCTTCAGAACACAGAAAGAAGAGGAAAAGAAAATACTATTTTCTTATATATTTCTTCTGCATGTATTACTATCATAGAAGTATTTATCTTTATCATAAATATAAATAACCTAGTAGTTGCCTCCAGAAGAACTTTCTTGGTTTTAACATTTTCTATTAACATTCAGTTTTCCTGCAAACCATACTGAAATGGCACGAAACGCATTTCTTGTTATATGAATAGATTTCATTCTTTAAATTTAACACTTGCTTTGCTAAACAAGCTTTTTTTAAACCACAAACTTAAGAAGACAAAATTCTTGCTGAAAAATTGTGGGTTGGACAAGGAAAACAATTAATTACATAATACTAAGCTATTTTAGCTTAAGTGTCTCCCTGGGAAAAACACAAGAATATTCTTAGTGCATAGCATAACTTTGGGGCAATGCTAAACAATACATACATACATATAATATATTATAATTGTTTCAATGATGTATATATGTGCTACTTGTACAGGAATAAAATCAATGTGGGCTTTCAAAATATATAGTACATAAATTAATGGAAATCTGTTCTATTCCAAAATGAATAAAGCCCACCAATTCAGTCTGGAGCCTGCTGTTGCTCAAGCTAATGAACTAAATTATATGCCTAAGATTGTCTGACATATCAGCCAGATAGTTGATTTAAAAAAATCATAACTATGATATGTTCCATAAAAATATACACAAGAACGCTCTCCCAATCATGAACAGACATATTTTAAAATCCCATTATCAAAACAGACACACACTTACCAATTGCTTTAAGGAATAATTAGAAAAAGTCTTAAAACTTTGTGGTATTTTGTGACTAGCAAATGCCCCTTCTCAATTCCTTACTGGCACTGGGCCAGTCACTGTCTCAGTGTAAGTACCTCAGAGGGTTGTTATAAAGGTAAAATTGGAAAGTCTTAAAGTCCTAGAGGACATTTGTTATCACAAATATGATAAAATAAAAATATACTTGGAAAGCATAGTTATGTTACGTGATAGTAATCATTGAAAATAATTAGCATGTAAAATGACCAATTGCAAACTGCTTTATGTATAAATTTAAATACATGAAACAAAGTGCAAGCCATTACTACATTGGAAAAATTTGATTTTCAGATGTTCTGTAGTCTTTGTATTTGCATCTTTTTCATATTTCTCAACTTTTACTTCCTCAGAAACAATGAGACTGGATAGAAATGGAGTACCCACCAGGAGTGTTGATGTATTACTCCCTCTCTCAGCGACACAAGTATTAAAAGCAATGGGCTACTCTGTATAACCTAATATAGTTGACCATCCCTATTCCCTGCCCCACACAATTATGTTTTTTGTAATTG